ATTCTTGACAAAAGTTGGTGCATGTTCCAAAACCATACCAAGTGTACCTGAAATGGCTTTATGACAAACACCATACAGGATAGGCCGAAAAGTGTAAAGTCCGTTCAAGAGTAAAGTACCCTTATTTCAAAAAATATAGAAATATGTTGGAGAGAAAAGTTGCTTGGAATCAAAAGTCATGTTCAGATTCGGAGTCATGGCCTGCTATTCGAATTTTTTTTTTTTGAAAATTTTGAATTACCCCAGTATGATACATATCTTTACTATTTTGATTCAATATGTATTTGAAGTAGCCACAATCGAATCAGTTTGAAGTATTTTTTATCAAATTAAAGTGTATTTGTGAAATTTACTTAGATTTGTATTTTTTCAGGTGACCGTTAACTTCATGTTTGTTGCAACGCTATTCAACAGAACTCTAGAATGAAACAAATACTCTTTTCAACGAGGCAAATACTTCACTAACTGAATGTTCATATGAATAAACTATCAATAAAAGTATAAAATTTCTTTTATTTTGACAAAAATGCCTCAACTAGAACAGATATTAAAAAACAATCCAAAATCTATCGCGGATAGCCGTGAATAAAAACACATACGCCCTGAAACAATACTGTAGTTTGATAGTATGGCTTCTTAAAACTTGCCTGTAAAACGTTTTCATATTTGTCCTTAATTAAAAATGCCTCGCCCAGTATATCAACGTTAACTGAAAAGGCAGAATTAGTTTCAATCTGTGGTGATGGTTATAAACTGATGCGCGAAGCTGCAAATATTTTCAACGAGCGGCATCCGGACAAACAAATTTGCTATTCAAATGTAAGTAGAATTTTAAAGAATTTCAAACAGACCGGCTCACTAGAATGTAAACATAATACGGAGCGTACGAAACCTGTATGCACAGAAGAAAACCAGCTTGACGTACTTCAAGCAGTAGTAGAAAATCGTAGACGGTCCACCCAAGAAATTAGTGATTATACCGGCATAAAAAACCTCTGTGAAGCATATTCTCACGAAACGTAAGTACCATGCTCACAAACCTACATTCATTTGTACATTTCGAAAAAGAGACTATGATTTGAGACATGATTTTTCCATGTGGATTCAGAGTGAAATAAAAGAAAAACGAGATTTCATCGATGTATTCTGTTTGGAGATAAATCTACCTTTACAACAAATGGGGTTCTATCATCACAAAATTGCAGATGGTGGCCAAATTTTATTATTGACAACAAAAATCATTACTATCAGAAAACCAAACGTTTGGTGTGGTATATTAAATGATAAATTACTAGGTCCGTTTTTTTTTGCAAAATTTGAATGGTGACAGGTAATTGAACTTTTTGGAAACTGAAATAGGAGAGTTTTTGGATGATATGGTATTAGACGAACGGCAAAAGTTATGGTTCCAACGACGGATGTCCTGCTCATTCTACTAGAAATTTTTCTCAGTGGCTGAATAGGACATTTCGAAAGAAATGGTTAGAACGAAATACCGATCCTCGTCCTCCAGACCTCACACCTCTTGATTATTTCTAATGGGGATACTTGAAACAAAAAGTCTACAGAGATCGCCCCTTTAATAATGTTGATGAGCTTGAAACTTCAATACGAGTTCATTGCAGAAACATTCCCGCTAATGTGTTGCGATCTACATTAAAAGAATTTTATGAGCGAACAAGTATTTGCCTCGTTGAAAAGAGTATTTGTTTCATTCTAGAGTTCTGTTAAATATTGTTGCAATAAACATGAAGTTGACGGTCACCTAAAAAAATACAAATCCAAGTAGATTTTACAAATACACTTTAATTTGATAAAAAATACTACAAACTGATTTGATTGTGGATACTAAAAATACATATTAAATCAAGATAGTAAAAATATGTATCATACGGGGGTAATTCAAAATTTTCCAAAAGAAAAAAAAATCGAAAAGCAGGCCATGACTTCGTATCTGAACACAACTTTTAATTCTAAGCAACTTTTTTTTCAACATATTTCTATATTTTTTGAAATAAGGGTACTTTACTCTCGAACGAACTTTATATTTTTTGGCCTATTCTGTATGGTGTTTGTCATAAAGCCATTTCAGTTACACTTGGTATAGTTTTGGAACATGCACCATCTTTTGTCAAGAATAAAATTTTCTGAGAAATCGATAATAAAAAAGTTTTCATTTATTGCAAACTATGTGGACTACACTGTATATCCATCAGTGTTTCTCTATGCCTTTAGTTTTTTTATGGGTGGATTTTTATTCAGTATTTATTTTCAGTATCAGCATTGCACTCGTGCGGAGCCGCGGCAGCTTGCTAGTCAAAAACATAAACGCTTATGCTGTTTCTATCCCTAAATTGAAATAACCTCATGTAAGTTATTGAAAGAGGTAGAAAATGGTTACAAGTTATGACATGTTCATGAAATCCCAATATTATTCAAAAATTTAAAAAAATATCAATTTCATTTTGGGAATAGTTAACGTTAATCGTTTGTTTCAACATATACAGTGTGATTTGGAAGGGTTATATTTTTAGGAGTGATTAATTTTTTGGGAAAGAAAGTTTTTGGCTTTCTACTACTCCATCTGATACAAAAAAAGGATGAGAGAATCTTCCAAAGAAAGGAAGGATTAATCAATTTGAAAATAAGTAACTCTATACATGGATGTGTAGATCATGCAAAGAAGTAACTTTCAGACACAAACTGAAAGAAAGTCCTCCTGAAACAGCTACTTCCTTTCTTTGGAAGATTCTCTCATCCATTTTTTGTATCAGATGGAGTAGTAGAAAGCCAAAAACTTTCTTTCCCAAAAAATATACAGTGTGTTACAACGAAAACTTAACAGAGCCGTTTTTGAATATAAAAAGAAAGATTTTTTAAAAAAGCTACCTCGATTTATGATTAAAGGGGGACACCTTTCAGACTAATCAGATTTTTTGTATTTAGCACCCCCTCGGAGGGGTGCGTCCGACGACCCTTATTTATATAAGGAAAATAGGTGGAGTGGCACCTTGTTTTAAAGGTCTTTCGAATACCTTTACAACTCTGTTAAAAGAAAATTTTTGTAACAATTAGTTCTCGAGATAATTTGAAGATTTAAAGGTATTTTTATTGAGTTTATTTTTTTTTTAAATAAATCAAATTGTTTTTAAGGTACAATTTACGTTCAGAACTTTCACGAAAAAAATATTTTTGCTTTTTATGACAACCTGCTAATACGTGTCCATTTGATTTCGTAAAAAAGTAAGAATTATTTGTTTATTACGACGAGATTTTTTCGGGGGATGGGGTTGGTTGCCACCCTTACATTTTAGGTAAATTGAGTGGCACCTCCTTATGGTGGTTGCCTTTTGACGTGGATATTTTAAGCTTCTGATTAAAAAGTGAATCATACTAAAAACTTACCTACAAAACGAATACAACCTGCTGATTTCCTTGAATGTTGATAACACAGAAAAGTTTAAAAAACTGTTTTAGGGTTAATAAATCCCAATAATTGTTTCTAAAGCACACACAAGAAAGTAACACCTAATAAGGGTAACTCACATAGGAAATTTATAGTAAATGTTCAAAATGTGCGCCATTTTGCTTCATGCAACAATAAAGATTTTGTTCGAATTTTACTCTTACATTATTCAACATCTCAAGAGTTATAGCTTGGCATTCATCAATAATTGAAAGACGTAATTCATCCAAATTGACTGGCTGTGTAGCATAAACTTTAGACTTTAAATATCCCCACAAAAAGTAATCCAGGCCAGCAAAATCTGGTGATCGTGCTGGCCATTCAATTGGACCTCTTCTGCCAATCCATTGTCCTTCAAAATGATTATTCAAAAAATTTCGAACCTGCTGGGCATAATGGGGTAGTGCATCGTCTTGTTGAAAATGGATAACTTCATAACATCTTGGATCCTATTCAATTATTTCAACTATATGAGGTTGTATTGCCTCTTCAAGAAATTGTAAATAAGAATCACCGGTTAAATTTCCATCAATGAAAAATGGACCTATAATATGATTGCCTAATATTTCGGCCCAGACCTTCAACTTTTGGGGATGTTGGGTATGTACTTCTGCGTATTGTCTTTGGTTTTCATCCGACCAATAACGGCAACCATTTGAATAAAATGAGCTTTCGTCCGAAAAACAGATGTTATAAAGCAGCTCGGGATTTTGCAACAATCTCTCACTCATGCCCTCACAAAACTCCTGTCTTCGGTCAAAATCATCCTAATTGAGTTCATGAACAAGTTTAATTTTGTAAGGATGGAATTTGTGGTTTTTAAGGATTCTCCATGCATTCATATGGCTTATTCTGGCCAATGCTGATAAACCTCTGGTTTTAACCTGGGATTGGCGATGACTTAACCAATCACTCCAATCGAATTATCGTCATTTACTATCCTTCTCTGAACATTTCTTTTCTTATTTGAAACCGAACCTCTCTCCCTGAATTTTGTGACCAAATCCAGAACGTGATTTCTGCTTAGGTGTTTACCAGGATTTTGCTCGTTGAATAAAATTGATGTTCTATTAGTATTTTGGTCGTTGCCAAAAAATAAAGCAATAACTGAAACCCTTTCAGCAGTAGTGTAAGGCATTTTAAGGGGGTGCGTACTACAAAAAATCTGATAAGTTTGAAAGGTGTTCCCCTTTAATTAGAAATCGACTTGTCCGAGCTTTTTTTTAAAAATCTTACTTTTTATATTCAAAAACGGCTCTGTTAAGTTTTCGTTGTTACACACTGTACATTGATTTTCTTCATGAATATGTGCACATGAACAGTATTTTACATTGTACTTACTTGATTCATTCTAACATTGAGATAATTTCTATAGACTTGATTTTTATAGCAATGGAAGCGATGATTGACATATTCATTCAATTCGAACTGAGCAATCAAACCAACCGCTCAAAAATTAATTATCAACAAAGGGTTGTAATTTGTAAAATATTCGTATAAGAGTATACGAATCATACAAAGTTGAATGACTCACGTTCTTGTGGTAACGAAGATTTGGTGAACCATTCTCTCACTTGTTCCACCAACTCCTCAAATTCTTTTTCCGAAATATTGTAATGTTTGAGAATTGCACGTTTTTCACTTTCGGAATATTGCAGTAACTTCGAAATCTTGGTCATTTCTATTGTTATTGTACACTACTGATAAAACTATGACCGTGGCTTGAGTTGAACATATTTATACATTCACGTATCAGTCAATTCAATTAGTGAACCGTTTATTTGAGGAAATTTTTATAACGTACAATGAGAATCACGAAAATAACGATAATTACACATCGATTACAGGAAATATTCAGTTGTTCAAAGGGCACGATTGGTGACATCACATGTTACCGAACTCCTTCATAAATTGGATGAAGATACCTACCAACTTTCCACAAACTACGTTTGAGAAATGTGGTTCGAAAGGAAAAAGGATTTTTGAAAGTATTATTTTGGTTCATTCGGAATATTTTCGGTTGGTCTGAAAAATAGTTATTTCAATATGAGTTGATTGTGTTCATTTTCAATTGAATGTTGCAAATTATTCAAATCAAATCGAAATTTCCTGTGATTCGCCCAAAAACACAGGACAGGATAGAGTGTACGGAATCATTCAATCCAGAGCGGTCAGGATTATTGATTCTGCTATTTGTTGATTCACGAAGATTATTCAAGAAGAACCCCAAGAATTGGGAACAATCTTCTTATTGTCCTAAGTATCTAGTGGACTTCAAAGACTCCAGGAAATTGGTTGGTGGAAAAGATGATACATTCTTATGAAACTGCAGCTGCATGAACAGGTGTTTGAGGTTGGTGAATAGGTAGGAAACATTCTCGTTCATCAATAAAACCTCGTTCTTAAAATTCTTCGTCATGAACAACACTTGTAAAATGCTATTCATGTAGCAAATGTTTCCTTAATTATCTAATCCAATTTTCTTCATAATATTTTCAGGAGAACTCTCTACTGATCCGTAAGGAAGAACGTGTTTCACATAATCTGCATAAGAACCATCTCTCAAGCTGCAATCGATCCTTCCAAGTGATGAGCAAATTGACCATGTCCCTATTTTCTTAGAAGATGCAGAGAAATTTGAACAAGTTCTGAAATTACCATTGTTTCACAAGCTCGAAAAATCTACCATGAATCTATCCAATTCAGTTTCAAGCAGTTAAACAGTTAAATTCCTCATACCGATGGTCCAATGTTGGGGCAAATCATCGCCTCCGTGATCACTCGAAAGAAAACAGCACTGGCGAACGTATAATTAACAGCTACAACAGAATTAGACCAGTGATACATTCTTGGGCTTGGGTTGAAAAATATTGGCAACACCTGTTTCATGAATAGCGTAATCCTATGTATCAATCACGAGATGGTTACTGGAATTTTTGAAAATGGATAAATACATGAAAGATATCAATACTAGTATTTATAGTATTTCGGAAAATAGTTTTTATTTTTTTCTGGCTTCATTTTTCAAAGGATTAGAAAATAAATTGCACTTCAACATAGTCACTTTTTCTCTGCTACCTAATGGATATTTCAGATTTGTTTTCTTACGTTTTGTCTTCCGGCCACCATCATCTACTTTATTTTTTCTTATGGGCGCTACATTGGATTTTTTCTGTTTTGGATAAAACTCATGTATAACAAGTTATCATTCATTCTCTAAAAGTTGGAGATATTGAAAAAATCAAAAACCAAAAGTCTATAGTTCTATTTGAATTGAAGGTGTTAAATAATATTTTTTATAGTTCTATTTTCATTGAAAAGGACACAATATCTAATTTACCTCATACACACTTCATTCATCAAATTTTGATTATTGATTCTGTCTCCGCGTTTTTTTGGCTTTTCAAATAAACCAAACTCGGTGAAATTTTGATCCAATAACTTGATTTGTAATAAATTTGTATCATATCTTTTTTTTCATCATTCGTGAAAGCCATTTTTCGACGAAAATTCAAATACTTGTATAATCACAGAGTCAGCCTATTATCATAAGAATTAATTTTTTTCAATATCTCTAATTTCTCGAAAAAGAATGATAACTTATGATGCATATTCGAAAAGGTAAGAAAGAAAGAATCCAATGTAGTGCCCATGAGAAAAAATGAAGTTGATGATGTTGGCCGGAAGATGAAACGTCGGATAGCAAATCTGAAAACACTGTTATGTAGCAGGGAAAAAGTGACAACGTGGAAGTGCAATTTATTTTCGAATCCTTCGAAGAATAATGTCAGAAAAAAATAAAAACCATTTTCTGAATCTTTTTTTCCGGATATCTTCGGATATATTCGTGAATTTCAGAACTTTCTCAACGGCATATTGTTAGTCAGGTAAATGCACAACTTTGCTTCGATTCAATCATCTTCGTATCTCTCATAGTTTCCAAGATATCAATGGCGAGAATCGAATTTATACAGGAGAAACACCCTGTATAATTTTTGTCCGCAAATTACGTGGTGTTGAAGTTTGTCTTGAAAACCAACTATTTATGTATTACTCTGAAACCGGTCAAAGTATGCAAATGAAATTTAGTGGGTGTTGATAGGTGGCTATTGCACATTTGAACATAACTATTAATACAATGTGGCAATCAACAAGATAAATGCGTAGCGAAACGTAACCGATGTTGAATCGTTTAGGCACTCGAGCAAACTCTCTGACAATAATTTAAAATCCGACAAACATGTAGATAGTTTGAAATCCAAGCTCTCCTCTGGATGTTATGCAATACCATCAACTGCATCTCAGCAACTTGCTTTCTGTGAGACATTATTATAGCTCAGCAGAATTCTACGATGATAATTTCAATTGATTATGATTAACTGGAATATCTTCAGTATTTTATTGATTTGATTCAATTGAAATTGAGTTATTTTATTTTATTGACCATGTTCTTATATTCTGAACGTTTTTATCAGGTTATTGTTATTTACATGTCGCTTTTCAATGCAAGTTATCACTAACTTCTTGTGAATTTACTTTTTATGATTTAATTTTTTTTTTCACCAGGCTCGATGAGAATTTGTTTTTCAGACAATTACGTATATTTAAAATTGAATTGAATATCTTCTCAAGTTCATCAAACACCTACTGGTGAAAAATAAAAACCAAACGTGGTTTCAACTAGATAAGGCACCACCACATTTCCATGACGATATTAAGAAAAGGTTTGCAAGTGGTTATTTATGTAGTGGGTCACTCTGAAGGTTGAGTTCACATCCATGTTTTGTCTTCGGATGAATATGTTCTTACTTATTTGGGGACTAAAATTCATAGATGTGAACATATTCTTCGGAATTTCAAACTACCACGGCTGGAGATGAAATTCCAACTTTGGTAGTTCGAGCTAAGTAGCCGTGATCCAATGAGGACAATAATGTTTTGCCCACGTCGAAAAAAAAATGATAAAAATCTGAAAAATTACCCGATGGATGGAACTTGGTGAGTAGTTAGAGAATGATGAAAGAAAGATCACCTAGTGATGGCCACCTACCACCTGTGACGGTTTTTGGAAAAACTCAAAAATATTTTGAAATGCATTTTTCTCGAAAACTATGCATTTTACAGAACAATTTATGGAACAAAAAGTCTAGAAGGCATCGTTATCTACAAATAATGTCATGGTGCTATGTTGTACAACAAAAAATGTCCGCAGTAGGTGGCGCTAAAGTGCCAAAAAAGTGGTTTTCAACTTTTTTGTCCTGAGATTTCCATTTTTCGAATCCATATACAACTTTTGTTCTGTTTTTTTTTCATACAACTCACCGTATCAGAGCTGCAGCTTATTAAAGTATGAGGACAGCCACGGAGCAGATAACAGATGAATTTTTATTATTTTAATCAGGAAATGATAATTTATATTGTTCATAACATATAACTAGTGAAAATTACTATCACTATTAGACCTTTATTGATAGATTAGTATTGAAACACTTAAGGTCCTAATGTTTTGTAAATTTTAAATTGAGAATTGCAATTGGATTGAACATTAATTTTCATTTAGAATTGATTCAGAATCGAATCATTTTCTTTACTTAGTATGAGAAAGAAAAAAGGGAAACACGCAGGTATAAGAAAATTCAGTTTCAAATGTACCATTAGGAATTTAGTACACGAACAGGTACATCAAACTAACTTCAACGAAAAATGAAATTGTAAGTTTTGACAGTTGTTACCATGAATATAATTTTCTGTTCTTCTTTGAATATTACTCATTTTACAGTTACAAAAAAATTAAAAATGAGATAACAGTTAATGATGAAAAAATTGAAAACCAAATGAAGAATAAAAAATTTAAATCATGTGTAATAAAGAAAATAGTAATAAAGAATACTTTGAAGATGCTCGTTCTTTCTCGATCCTTTTTGCAGCGCGTTCATGTTGGGTGTACGGACGATAGCATTCTGCTGTGAACGTCTGGGACTGGGATGCTCTTGTCTTCCAGTAATTCTTGAATTTTAGAATCACCCGTAATTATTGCTGCTCGTATCAACGACTGCCGACCTCCGACACCCACGTGACGCACATCATCCACAACATACTTGTCACAAATGAAATAAACAGTAATGTTTTCACAGAGCACTTTTGCGGTCTATACTCTTCGAAACTTACATAGCAACTGAAAAATGTGCGTTTCTTGAATAATAGGGCAGATGACTAAATTGGCCCTTTTGTTCAAACAATGCCAACGTTGTCGGAGACAGTGACAATAGGACCGACAAACTTACCTTCAGCACCACTGCGCTGTTCACGCAGCGCTATGTTACACTATATCTTTGAAACGGTAAGTTTCATAAAACAAAATTAAAATAAAAGGTATCTATTGAATTGAAAGGATTTTTTTTCATTTGGATTGTAGCTGAAAAATTAAAATTCCAGGACGAAAAAGCAGAAAAACACTTTTTTTTGGAAATTTAACGCCACCTACTGCGCACATTTTTCGTTGAACAACATAGCATCAATGATATCAATTGTAGATAACGATGCTCTCTACATTTTTTGTTGAATAAATTTTTCTGTAACATGCATAGTCTTCGAGAAAAATGCATTTCAAAATATTTTTGACTTTTTTCAAAAACCGTCACAGTTTGCAGATGGCCATCGCTGTGTAAGCTTTCTTTCATCATTCTCTAACGACTCACCAAGTTTCATCCATCGAGTAATTTTTCAGCCATC